CTCCCTCGGGGGCTCCCTGCTCTGCTCCCATGGTTGCTCTGCTGCACACCTTTAGTGGTTTGGCTCTGTGTCGCGGGGTCAATCCAGACCAGTCCCGACACTGAGTCTCCAGTGTTGTCCCCCGTAGGGCCCTGGGCCAGCAAGGGACGGCTTGTCTCATAGTGGGATCAGCCATATAGTCCACTCTGAATTGGCTGTTCAGAGCGGGGATATCGTCCTCCAGGCCTGGTGGGTCAGGATGTGCTCCACTCTCTCTTCTTCTCCTTCATTTGCTCCCGTGTGCTTTGATCAGACACGCCCCTCTCCCCTAGCTGCAGCTTCAGTGCCTTCCTCTAAAGTAAATTCTTCTGGGGGGAGGGGCCTTTTCAATGTTCCAACAAGAACACTTTAAATTAAATAAAGGGATCTCATAAATATGCTATTGAACAGAGCGGTTTAAAACCATGGTAACACCTGGAGGGTGAAGGGAATGCGGGATAAGAGGGGGGAAAAATTATAAGAATCTAAGTATAGACTCCTCCCTGGGGAATGGACAGCAGAGAAGAGGGCGGAGGGAGATGTCAGACAGTGTAACTTATGACAAAACTATAATAATTTATGAATTATGAAGGGTTCACGAGGGAGGGAGGAGGGGAGAGGGAGGGGGGAAATGAGCAAACGATAATGAGGGCTAAAGTAGAGGGCAAATGTTGTGAGATTCATGAGGGTAACAGGTGTACATATGTGCTTGACTCAATGGATGTATATATGGACTGTGATACGAATTGTATGAGCCCTCAATAAATTAATTTAAAAAAAGAATAATGAGGGTAACAAATGTACAAATGTGCTTTATACAATTGATGTATGTATGGATTGTGATGAGTTGTATGAGCCCCCAATAAAATGACTTTAAAAAAGAAAGAAAAGAGAAAGCACAATCGCACACTGAAAAAAAACAACAACACGATAACACAAAACGACTGATTTGTCTTCTCATCTGGTTCAGCACATCGACATTCTGATGTGACCAGGACCTTTGCTACTGTTTAGGGTCCAGGTTGGGAGCTTCCCAGTTTTAAGCAGGAAAAAAAACTATGAAGTAATTCATATTGCACTAAAAGTGATTGAGAAAATAAAATCCCCAGACCCACTGTCACTGAATCCATTTTGACTCACAGCGACTCTACAGGACCTGAGCAAGGTGCACCACGGGGTTTCTGAGGCTGTCAGTCTTCACCGAAGTAGACTGACCCATCTTTCTCATGCCGAGCAGGTAGTGGGCTTGGACCAGTGAGCAGTCCAAGGTTTGACTCACTGCACCACCAGGTGCCAAGGGTATTTGAGAAGTTGTTTTTTTGTATTGGTACTTAGATATTTTTCCAATATGAACTTTGGCTATGCATGTGATGTTTCCCAAACTTTGAAGATGGGGCGGTGGTGGCTCTTTACATTCTATTGGCAGTGAAGCACTTGTTCACATGTAAGACAGGCAGTTGGGGAGTTCAAAAGGTCCTAGAACAATTCTATTATCTTTCAGTGGCATTTTCCATGAACATTTGAAGCCCCCTAAGATATATTTTCATGTAAG